GCTGAAGACAGCCCATGTTCTTATGTAAAATCACGGGACACATGAGTCTCCAATTGGCTACAGATGTCTAAACAGACAGAGGAAACTCTGGCCATAGAGGCTGAGCATCTCGGAAGCTGCATCGCACTCTGGCTTTCTGCTGGTAGATGCTCTGTCCACTCATCCATATAATTTCAATCAGTGTTCTCCAACTTTTGTCCACCTGTGATTTACATGGGTACTGATTTTTTTCAATGCCAAAGCCTTCCCTTCCCAGCCAAACATCTCAAAAAAAAAGATCTATTTTCACTTTCTCTATTTCTTCACCTCCCACTCTACCATTGCAATCTGGCTCCAATTAATTAGCACTCTACCAAAGGCACTCTTATCAGAGTCACGAATACTGTCAAACCAAATGGCTTCTTAGAAAAACACCTTATTTTGTGTGACCTCTAAGTAGCATTTGCTATTAACTATTCCCTTCCTTTTGAAATGCTTGTTTCACTTAGCTTTTTTGACCACACAGATTCCTGGTTTCCCTCCTACCTGTCAGGTCTCTTCTGCTCAGTATCTTCTGTGGGCTACCAATCCTTAGCCTTCTCTTGAATATTGATATTCCTAGGAATTGGGCCTTAAACTTTCTCTTTTTTTCCTGCTATGTAGCCTCCCTGGAAAAATCTTATCCACTCCTCTATTTGCTATTACCAGTTATAAACTGATAATCCCAAATCTAATCTCCATTTCAGGCCTTGCGCTTTAGACCTATATCACATTGCCTCCCAAATATATTTCCCCAGATGCACATCAGCACATCAAATTCAACATGCCCCAAACTGAATGCATTATCCAACCCTCACCCAAACTACTTCTCTTCTTCTTATATCCTTCTTTCCACCATATACATATACATAGTTTCTTAATTCCAAAATTAAGTCAGTCATCAGTCAACAAGTTCTTTGGGCCGGCCTAGTGGCTCAGTTGGTTAAGAGTTAGTTTAAGAGTGTGAGCTCTGAGCAACAGGGCAGCTGGTTTGATTCCCACATGGGCCAGTGACCCTGCACCTAATCTGAGCTGCCCCTGAGCTGCCAGCAGGTGGCAGGATGGCTCAGCTGGTCAGAGCACGTGTTCCTAAAAACAACACTGCCTGTTAGATGGTGGGCTATGCCCACCCACAACTAAGACTGAACTCAGCACCTTGAGCTGAGCTGCCGACCGGATAGCTCAGTAGATAGAGCGTGCACTCTTAACAACAAGGCTGCTGGTTCGACTCCCGCATGGAATGGTGGCTATGCTCACCTTGCAACTAAGATTGTAACACAGCACCTTGAGTTTAGGGGCCATGAACTGCCGACGGGCAGCCAGATGGTGACTAGCGCCCTCCACAACTAAGATTGAAGAACAACAACTTGGCTGCTCCCCCTCCCCAATTCCCCAACACTGTTCCCCTCCCCCAGAGAGAAACTGAAAAAAAACCAAAACAAGTTCTTTGATTTCTAGCTCTGATATTTCACCAATCTGTCTAGCTTTCTTAATCTATACTGCTGATACTTTAGATTTGGCTATTATAATTGTTCGCTTATGAATCCACATAAATCTGAGCAATTTCATGGTCAACAGAGTTGTATCCCAAAGATATATCATCTGAACATCATAACAAAAAACAAAAAAAAAACAAAACAAAAAAAAACAAACAGCATTGGAAAGCCATTTAATTTGTACAGCAGTCTCTTGAAAAGGTGTTAATCATTTATATATTGATGTTTCATCCCCGTCATACCTATATTACTTCAACTGCCTCTTAAGTGATCTCCCTGCTTCTAACAGTTTTCTTCCACTTGATTCTCTCTATACTACAGCTAGAATGACCTTTCAAAAATGCATTTCCATGCTTAACATTAATTCAAAAATGCATTTCCTTGCTTAATGCTATTATTGGCTCCCTATTGTCTACTGGATAAAACTGAAACACTACATACTTATAAAGTCCTTCACCATATGGTCTCCACTTAGCTCTCTAGCTTCATCTCTCACTACTCTTCCATATTCTTTGTACCATAGTATCCTTTTAGTATTGGTATATATGTTAACTCTGCCTGGTGAGCATTTACTATGCGTGTTCAAAGAACATGCAGTCTATCTTGGGAGACTAGTTGGATATACAGTTGGGTAGCAGAGAACAGATTACATATTAAACATGGTGATACTGGGGGCCAGCCAAATGGCTCAGTTGGTTAAGAGCTCGCTCAAGAGTTTGAGCTCTGAGCAACAGCAGTTCGAGTCCGGCCCGAGCTGAGCAGCTGCTGAACTGCCAACAGGTGGCAGGATGGCTCAGCTTAAAAAAAAAAAAAAAGAAAATAAAGTACGAATTTAAACATGGTGGTACTAACATTCAGTAAGGGGATGAAACAACAGTGAGGACTAGAACCATATGGGAAGGTTCCCACAGAAGAGGTGAACTGTGAGCAGGGTGGGGGATGGGATTTGGACCAGCAGAGGTAATTCTGGACTGAGGGAATGGAGCCATGAGAAGCAGGCCCCTAATGAAGGTGGAGGGTTATAATCTGGACAGTGAGGTAGATAACAGTATGGACTCGTTCTCTGTCAGCCTATGAGGACAAATTCTAGTTACTCTTTAGGGTGCTTTAAGCACAGATCAGGGAATGATAGACAACAGCAGAGATAGCTACCAAATAATTTGGACATGGAGCCTGCTTTCTATCCCAGTCAGTCCTGCTGGTTTCTAACACCCACTCCCCCAATCTATCTTATTCCCCTCCCTCCCAAAAACCCTACTGTTTCTCTAAAGCTGAAGTTTTGTAAGGAAAAGGGAGGGGGCATCAGGGAAACTGAGGCTTGGAATGAAATGTTATAAGGAAAATGTGATTCTGTCTCCTGGCTACCAGAGCCCCTTTTCAATAAGCCGCACTTTAAATCCCAACTTGAAATGGATGAAGTAGCTTTCATGGTGGCAGTTATGGTTTGCAAAGTGTCATATGACAAAGAACCCTTCTCATGGTGATGAGAATCATATGTTTCCTCTATTTTGACAAAGAATTCTCTTTTCAGTGTAAATTTCCCATGAATAAACAGATAAGTTGTTCAGAGCTGACTGACTGATTGCAATTCTAAGTGTCCTACTATAAGTTAAAAATATCCCACAAGTGAATCATACACGTGCACCTTCTCTCTTTTGTCCCCCTCCTCCATAAAAACACATTCACACTCTTGCATACTGCCATGAATAATGCTCCTTTTCCTTGCCTTCTGCAGTATTTTGCATCATAGAAGGTTAGACTGCTCTAGGACTTGATAGTCTGATGTACTCAAATCTCTCTTAAGAATGGTTCATTCATTTTTGTCAGTTTTTCAGGCCTTCCAATTACCATCTTATTTTTGTGGTTGCCTCTATTTTACTATTTTCTGAGTTTCTAGGGGTGAGGCAGGGGCACATAGACAAGAAGAAACCCCCCAATAGGCACATTTTTAGTGTTTTATAGAGATCTGTACATATGGGGGATGGCGATGGCAGGGGATATTAGTTCTAATGACTAAAGCAAGGTTTCTGGCTGATGTGTTCACTTTGCTTTCATTGTTATCCTAGGTTTTGGGTAGTATGAAGAATGAAACAACAGGAATATCCTAACTATAGAGGATATCACTGGCTGTCTACCCAACAGCAATCCTTCATTCCTTGATGACAAAACCCTGAACTTGGTTCAAGAATTAGGTAGCAATATGCTTATGGAAGGTGACCCAGTTCCAGAGGGTCTGAGTCTATTTTGGAGATCTCATTTCTCCTTTGCCAGTGACTGGTGAAGGCAAGGGCATGTGACTAGATTTTGTCCAATGTGACACAAAAGGAAATATGCTGGTATCTTTGCCTACCTCTGGTCATCTTACTATGTGAGTTAATGAAACCTAATTGTTCAAACCACTTTTAGATAAGTGTTTTAATACTTGCCAAAAAAACTATCCTCTCTGATACACTAACCAATTCTAAAACTCTCAATTTCTACTCTAATTTATTTGAAAAGATTGTCTAGTATTCTCCTTCACCAAAGTCACAGGTTCATGGAAATTAGAGCTCAAACGTCTCTCTGAGGATTGTCTAGTCTATTCCCCACCTGTTACATAACAGCCTCTTATTCTTCAGATTAAGAAAGTCATTCACAGGGTGGTGGGACTATGCTTTATGTGTTATAGTCTCTCTGCATGTCTAATCCTGATTTTGTAGTATTGTGGTAACATCAGAATTTTGGACTCAGGTGAGTGCTATGCTGAATTTCCCCTTTTATTCTCACTGACAAAAAGCTTTCCTAAATACATGTAAAATAGATCTCAGAGGGAACATTGCTTTTACTCAAGAAAACTTCCAAATGCCCTCGAAATAACTATTATGGATACATGAATAACAAGTCATGTTCATATATTCATTAAAAAATATTTCTAAAGACTTCAGTAGTCAGTACTTTTCCAAATGTGAGTTACTGTATTATTTAAAAATAATAAAATTATATAGCTTGGAAAATATTTAATAAATAAGATTGGCTTTACCCTCTAATTGATTCAAATTTGAGAGACTTAAATTCTTATGCCCCATCCATGAAGTGTTCTCCCTAACAAGACATGTGACCATCTGACACCCTACAAATGCAGTCAAGGGAATTGTAATAGATATGTATGATATGGGGGGGGGATGGGGCAGCTAATTGAGGGAGTGGGTTGTCACTTTGAGGGGTAAAAAGTATAACCGTTGCACTGTGTTGTACAGCTGAAACTAATTAAAAAATGTTTATTTCACAAAAAAATTCTTATGCCGACATTCCATCTAGCATTATTCTTACCCCCAACAATGCTCTCCTGAGGAGGCAAAAAGTAATTTACATAAAGAGAAACTTCTGCTATCTGGTGTTACAACAGATACCTCAGGCTTCCTTTCTACCTAATTTCTGTATGAGAAAATTGTTATTCATTTCCATGATGCCAAATGGTGATAACGCTTGAAAACCAGTGGTTCCTACCTGAGTGATGTCCATTCCTGAGTCACAGCTCAGTGGCTGTGTGGAAGTCAAACCATTCGAGCCGATTATGGTGGTGATCACAGCATTCTCATCAATTCTCCGAATCATAGTCCCATCCACAAAGTAAATGAATCCATGCCTATCAACTGTGATGCCTGTTGGGAAAGAGCAAATGAACATTAGGACGTTGGTGGGCCACATTTGCACCAAGTTCAGGAATTTGGAAAAAGCCATAAAAATGGAAAAGCATCGTAAAGGTATATGGATTCAATTTTGTTCAGCACACACAGGACAGTAATGAGATAGGTCTGTTCAGGCACACATTGACTTTTTTGTGTATTGAAAAGAAATGACAAAATGTAACCTGTGAAGATAAAGCCAGGTCTAATAATTTTGTGTTGTCCTGTTTTACATTTCAACCCCCTTGATGCTTGCTAACCCCAACAAACAGAAAAAAAAATCCTCTTTAAGATAAATGGGAAAAGACAAGGGAGTCAGCATGCATTATATTTCTTGTAGGGTGTAGATGCTTATTTCCACAGTTAAATTAGAAATAACTGATTTGGAAAGCATTAAAAATATTTTCATCAAGTCATACTCAGTTAGCGGAGAGTTTATAATAATCCTAATAAACTGGACTGACTTTTTTCTCTATAATGTCTATTAAGAGGAATGTTGGAGAGCAAAGTTATGGTATGACAAAGGTAATGGTTATGTTTCTGAAAAAAATAAAAACCAATAAAATTTTCACAGTAGTTTTTGAATACTGTGTTAATTACAGCCTGTTTTCTTGGAAACTAAAATGAAAACAGCAGTTAAAAGGCTTGGATTCTAGTTGAAGACACCACTTAAAACTGATGTGTGCCTTTGAGAAATTAATCTACAAATTTCAGCCTGCTCTTTGGTAAAATATGGAAAAGATCTGCCTATGATATCGTGATTTGTAATAAGAAATGTATATTTGGTCTTCATCCTGATTTCTAGTGAAGAGTACCTAAAACTTGGAATTTCCTAAGTGGTGAGAGATAAAGGTGTCTTTTTTAATGTTAATGAGGTGACGTTGGACCTCATTTAAGGATGGGGGTTGCTTGCCAGTGGAGTCAACCATGTGATTAGAGGGTTCGAACTTTTATTCCCACCCTCTGATTTCCAGGGAGGGGAGAAGGACTGAATGTTGAATCAATCACAAAGGGCCAATGATTTAACCAATCAAGTCTATATATGATTTAATCAATCACCTCTATGTAATGAAGCCTCCATAAAACCCCAAAAGGATGGGTTTCAGAGAGCTTATGTGTTGGTGAACACGTGGAGAGTTGGGAGAGTGGCACATTCTGAGAGGGCAGGGGGGTTAATGCCCTTTTCCCATACCTTGCCCTATGCATCTCTTCCATCTGGCTATTCCTGAGTTATATATTTTTATAATAAACTGGTAATCTAGTAAGTAAAATGTTTCTCTGAATTCTGTGAGTCAAATTAATTGAATCCAAACAAGGGGTTGTTGGAACTGTCAACCTATAGCCTGTGGGTCAGAAGCACAGGTGACAGCCTGGACCTGCAATTGGCATCAGAAGTGGGGGGCTGAGGGATTCTCGTAGGAGTGAGCCCTTAACCTGTGACATCTGATGTTATCTCTGAGTAGATAGCATCAGAACTGAGTGAAATTGTAGGACACTTAGCTGGTGTCAAAAAATTGCTTGTTGGTGGTCTGGGGGAGGGACACCTCACCCTCACCTTCTCCATGCTAGAAATATATTTTAGAACACTTTTTACTGCTTTACCTAGGTAAAGAGACTAACTGTCCTGGTTTGCCTGCGACTGAGGCAGGTTCAGTTTTAAAACTGGGACAGTCCTAGACACACTGGGATGCATTGGTTACTCAAGCCTAGATTGTTATAAGCATCACAAGAAATAATACATTTTAAAAGTGTCAGACACATATGAAGAACATATGGCTCCACTCCTGTTTCCCTTGGTTCTTTTGACAGTTCTCTTGAAAATATGTCATTACTTTAAAACTAGTCCACAATTTCATCTTTTCCCATCTCTCCTTTATTCAGACCTTGTGAAACTCAGAATGTACATTAAAGTTAGGAGCACCTGTAATAATAAACATGTCCTTTTAGTGCATACATGCACACACACACACACATAGTAATTTTCTTGGCAAAGAATGAACTCATCTAAAGAGTTTATAAACCCAATTTAATAAACTACTTTTAGATGAGCTAATTTGTTGGCAGGAGTTTAATATGAAGACTCAGCTTTATGGTATACTTAGATTAAACCTGATGTTCCTCATGAAGGATTAATCTTTAAAATCTATAAAAGTTACAGGTTTATTTTATCTTTCCCTCAGTGCCTCTAAAGTCATCTATGTTTTAGTTGGGTTCTCCAAGAAATATAGCATGTCACAACAAGGGGGATTCCATGCCAATAAGTCCCCTTATCATTTTTAGAGGCATTAAGACCTCTATGGAGGTTTTAAAAAAGACTTTTAAGATCGGGTCAGGCCATAGGATGATGGCACATTAATATTACTTTTTTCTCCATAACATTTGGACTGAGAATAAACCATGGGGGGCAGGTACCTCTGCTTCTTATTTTTGTTTGTGTTTGGGTAAAATCAATTTCTTAAATGCCTAAAATTTGTGGCAGGCCTATGATTTGAGATCATCTTCTGTGACCTCTGTATTAAATATCACTGAATGTGAAATTTAAAATTTGGCTATCATAAGAGGATGCACTGAAAGATCAACACCAAGTATGGAGAGAGAAAGGCTGAGAGTACATAGGCTTGAAGTGTATGAAATCATGAATTATTTACCAAACACATACTGACTGTCACTGTGCCAAATTTTATGAGGGCCAAAAGACAAAAAATCCAAGTACATGAAAAGTAAGACTAAGAATACTCCAAAAATGTTGTTCTAACTAGGAAGTAGTATACTTAGAGAATCTAATCCACTGAAAATTGGGGCAAATTCACAAAAAGTATAGAGAAGTGAATGGATTCCCACAGAAACTAGTATATCTGGGGAGGTCCTACATCTTATGCTGACTCGAGGGAGGACAACTTTGTTCCTTGATTACTACCCTCAGCATCCCCATGGAGGCAGAGTTTGTACTGATACAGAGAGGATAATCCTAGACTTTTCATGGTTCCTTCATTTTTCAATTTTGTAAACTTCTGAATGCTGTGAACTGCTCCCTCTGTTCATGTCAGCTGAATTCAAGAGATGAGGCTTATTAAATACACAGATGAGGCTTATTTGGCGGACAATTTTTGTATAATATTTTCCTTTCATATATTTGTGTAGCAATTTCTTTTATTGTGGTCCAAATTCTAAAATACTCCTTTTTCCTTGAGACTCTTTAATTACATTTGATTGATTTACACTTATGCATGGAGTTGAAAAAAATAGTAAAAAGGGCTTTGTGAGACTGTGTGATAGGTGCTTATTAATGTACTAAGCATATTTTATATGTACATATTTCCATTTCCTGTAACTTTCTTTCACCAACCAACACACAACACACACACACACACACACACACGCAAACTCGCCAAACAACTAGTTTTACAAACTCTTTGATGGTGAGGTTTAAGGAGTATTTAATTTTCACTGAGGTTAATAACTAAATTTAAAATTCCAAGCAGGAAAAGGAATTATCTTTGCCATTACTTGAAGGGGTGGTTTTTCTCCCATAAGAAGCATTCTTATAGCCCAGGGATGTTGATGGTGCAGTATGATCTATTACTATCTGTTAGACTGAGTAGGAAGAGGTGGTACATGCCCAGTGTATTTTAAGCTTTATTCTTTAGCGATGTGGATGTGATTTGAGATCACATAAAGCCATCTGAGGCTAGCAAGATCTGCAGATTAAATTGACTTGGATTTTTGATGGGTTACTGATGTAATCAGGTTTCCAAAATCTGGTACCCAATGTTATGGGCATGATTTGTTCCAGTGGCCACATACATTGATGTGCTTACTAACAGTGTTTTAATTAACACTGAAATCATAACTGAAGGCACAATCTTTGCATAAGAAAGAAATTAAACTGTATGGAGAAAACCACTTGCAGGGTTTAAATTTTTAACCAGTGTTCAGTTACAGAGAAAGGAAAAAAAAATTAGATCTCTGATGTTACCACAAGTTGAGGTAGTGATGCAGGGTGGGTCAGGGTGAAGTTGCAAAGAACAACACACAACAGCTTGAGTTCCCACACCACCACCTCCATCAAACAAAACACTAGGATCAGATGCCCAGACAGCATGTTTAAGTTGGAGCACATTTTTACATTTGTGAGAAAATAAATAAATCTTTGTAAATTAGTGCATATAATGAAAGCACTCACAGACCATAACCTGAAAGTGTGTGAATGGTGCTGTCTCCATTCATCAGAATTAAGCCTTAACAAGCTCTTTCTATGGCGGGGCCTGCTCATAAATAAAGTGCATCTTGTAAAAAAAGTATTCACAATATTTTATGCAAAGTAGGGGATGTTATATAATATCTGAACTGCAGGCTCTTTTCTCTGTAATGCATAGCACTGTATGAAACAGCTGCAAATTATAGGCAACATTATTTGACTTCTTCTCTAGTCTTATTATCCTACAATTAATAAATACTATAATTCTTAAGGAGGCAATTGCCTAAAGCTGGGGCAGCCTGAATAGTTACTAATAAATCTATCACCTATTGGAAAAGAGGACAACATTGATCAATACTGAAGCACCAGTGGCATCCTGATGTGGGGTCACTGGGAATCCAGATGTAGAGGTTAATAGCCTGTAAATAGTAGCTAAAATCCCAAATTAGATAACAGTGATGATCAGAGTTTTTGGCTATGCAGAATGCCAGTTTCAAATGTTGGCAGAAGGCATCTCTGTAATTTATAAAAATTACAGCTCTTGAGACCACCTAGATTTTTATTATTTCTATATTAAAAATGAACCTTGTTTCAGAATATAAGCTTTGGAAAGTTGTCATAAAATTCTCTCCATCTATAGCCCTAGCAACCAGAAAATTGAAATACTGTTTTTCTTTTTCCTTTTCTGCCAAAATTTGCTCTTTGATTTTATGAGACAGAGATGAATGGTTAAAATAAACTTTCAGGGAATGTTCTAAGTGCAATTTGGCGCCAGCTC